CAGCCGCACTCCATGACCAGCATCATCAGCATTCCCAATCCTCGCAAAACCGACTCCTAGCCCTTCTTCCGAGGCAGTGCAGCCCACATGGGTAGTTCTCTAAAGTAGGGTCTGGGGTCTAGGGTTTAGGGTTTAGGGGTTTAGGGTTTGGGGTTAGGGTTTAGGGTTTAGGGTTTGGGGTTAGTTTAGGGTTTAGGGTTTAGGGGTAGTTCTCTAGAGTAGGGTGCCTCTGTGGATCCTTCTTATAAGGGGGCCGTACTATTTTGGGGACCTAAACAGGGACCTCAGAGAACTACCACACGATGGCCTTGGAGCCCGTCGATGCTCAAAGTTCACTTAGAGGCCTCCTTGGGCTAGGAGTTTGTCAGGGTTCTGGCAGGCGTCTAGATGGGTTCTACAAGGGTGGTTGTCAAACTTGTGGTCCCTTGTTGGGTCCTTGTTATAATGCGGCACCTGGGTACCCCAAAAGGGACCTTAATTTTGACAACTACCTACAAAGCTACAGCTTAAACGTGGTAAGCAGTGCCATAGTCGAGGTAACTGCATTTTATAGACGCGTTACGCTCAGGGCGTAATATAGGGGCCACAAAAATTAGAATAGGTATTGGGAGCATTAGACTCACCTTATGATAAGGAAGCCCCAAAATAGTATTGGCAATTATTTAGGCCCCTCTATCAGGGGGTTTGGGGCTTGGCTCTGGCGGGGGGGGAGCGCAAAGCTTCGGGAGCTAGGCTTCGGCTTAGTACATTAAGCCCCTAAACCCTTCAACCCGAAACCCCTAAACCCTAAACCCCTAAACCCCTATCCCCTAAACCCCTTAACCCTAATCCCCGACACCCCTAGACCCTAATCCCGGAAACCCCTAAACCCGAATCATCCCCTAAATCCCTAATCACCCATATTACGGGACGTATAACCCCACTTATAACTATGAACCTCCAAGTATGCCATCGAACCCTGAAGCTGCCAAAGCCAGCTGAGCGGCACTTGCCAGAAGAACCAAAACACCTGGGTTTAGGGTTTATGGTTCAATTCGGTTTTTTGAGGTTTGCAGTAGGTATTGCCGTGAGGATAGCTCTGAGAGGAGCCGTGATCGATTTTAACTTACGGTCCCTCACTAACCGGATTTGGAGTCTCTGGGTGCCCTGAACCCTCAACCCTAAACCCTACTTGGAGAGGCAGTGGACTTAGCAAGTAGGTTGTAAGTAGAGTTATATAAGTACCCTAAATGGAGTTACCCCAATTATAACCCTACTTATACTAAGTCCCCTGCCCCTCCAAGTAAACCCTGAACTCCGAAGCCCAAACTCTTCACTTGTTTGAACCCTGCTCTGCCCGGTGCCTGGGTGCCTGGTCTCCCCTAACCTCTACCTTTAGCATTTAGGGTTGAGGGTTTGGGGGTTCAGGGTTTAGGGTTTAGGGGTTTAGGGGTTTAGGGTTTATGGTTTAGGGTTGAGGGTTGAGGGTTTAGGGTTTAAGGGTTTCGGGTAACTCAAGTCGTCATAAACGAGTCTACAACCATACCTTGAGGATTTCGATGTCTCTGAACGAATGTAAAACCGTCAACCTCAAACCCCCAGACAGAGTGCCACATCGCCGGCTGCATGCAACTGGCGAAGGATTGAACGAATACCATTCGCCTCAATGGCTTCCGCAAAACCGGAGAAACATGCAACAAATGCAGTGAACACACAACTGTGGTCTTTAGGGTGCTTGTCGATTTTGTTAATGTTCGTCAGAGTTGTCGCGAGTTGTCCATGCGTTTGCGCCCCCAGATCCTATACAACCGTAAACCCAAGACCCTAAACTAAACTCCAAACCCTAATCCTTACTCTAACCCCCGAAAAACCTACCTTTTGACGAACTATGTAAAGGAATTCTGGTTTCTTAGGGTCCAGGTGAACCACCTGTCTGGCCCAAGAGAGAAAGGGTACAGAAGCTAAGGCAGCGGCTGACGATACGCAGCATCTTTGCAATGAAGTCCTCGGAAACACCATGACATAGGGAGCAGGGTGCAGAGTTCCGGGGGGGGAATGGGAGCCACAACAAGCTTTCAATGGGCTGCTGCATCCCAAACCCGAATCCTCAACCCAACCCTTACTTCTTGTTTCTGCTCAAAAGTCAGGATTTCTATACTGAACTTGCGACCCTAGCAAGAATTAGGATTTTAGCTGTTTCTGAAGGATTGTAACTATTAAAGATGAAGACTAAGAACTATTTCAAAGAACCCCTCAGATCCTAGATGCCCCCTAAACCCCATTCCCTGAGGCTGAAACCCAGTGCACGAGTCGAGTTCTTAGAAACCCTAAACCCTAAACCCTAAACCCTAAACCCCAAACCCTAAACCCTAAACCCGAAACCCGAAACCCGAAACCCGAAACCCGAAACCCTAAACCCTAAACCAAAACCTCTGTCAGAAGGAG